TCTATCATTTCTAACGTATATACTTACGCATAAAGTCTTCTGTATTCAAAATAGATGAGGTACTTACTACGAAAAATTACCTTGAGTCTGTTTAGCAGTACGGCCCACCTTGTGATGAACAGGAGATTATGCAGTGAAAAGCAAAAAAGAATGTTTGCTCATGCCTGGCAAGAAAAAAAAACTCTCCTAATGCTGCGAGAAGCGGATATTTTTGTTTTTATTTTTTGATGGATAATTCATATCATTAACAACAACAACACATTTATCAACAACAACAACATATTTATCAACAACAACAACAACACTTCTTTTAAATGAAACATAAAATAGTTATTTTCTGAAAGTAGAAATAGAACGTCAACTGAAATAATATTTATATATTCTTTTCAGATAGCAGAATAGCAATAAAATGTTCAATTTTCCTTGCAGTCATATTTGTTTTGTAAAGTAATTAAGAGTTCTAGGTACGGTGTAAAATGTGTGAACAGACTTACTTCATGACAGTCAGCTAAATATTTCTGTAAGTTCGTAGACATAGGCTTAGTAGGCGGTGGCTGGTTAATCTCTACTATTGTGTGCGTGGACAAGGCCCTAGTCGGCAGCTGCTGGCTGTCTCTCTTCCATTGTTTGTAGGTGCGCGTGTGCGTACGCACGTTGTAGATCAAACTGGCCTTCAAAAATTGTTCTGAGCCCTGAGAATTAGTATGCATCATTTTTTTTTATATCCGTAAAGGGGATTCAAAATCTAATTTCACATAGAAGTGTTAACTTTTCGAATACATTGATTAGAAAATAATTTCACACTGGCTAGCGAAAATCTTTTCTTCGAATTTGTAGGAGTGGTGAAGAGAATTATTATTTTTATTTTCTGAATGGTCCCAAAATAGTTCTTGGTATGTTTAACAACTACGTGTGCAAGTATTTTGTCAGTATTTGCCCTTGTAATTATTGTTTATCAAACAAAATATTCTGATAGGATTTTATTGGTTGAAATATATATAGTCATCCACTGTTTCATATATTTTTTTTTTTCGCAGCTCATCAGTGTGGTACCTTTCAGAGATTATTTCGTCAGCAAACAAAACGTTGGCATAATTCATAACAAAAACAGGCGTGGATGAAGGTGAAATTAGATGTATTTATTTTTAAATAAACACGCCAGTGAATAAAGAACTCGATTCGTTTGAACGAAGAGACTTGAGTCAGCAGTAGTAATAATCACTGTTTACAAATTCAATTTACTCCCCGAAGAGCTCAACCGAAATCATTTTTCCAGGCGCATGTATATATTTTGCCATCCCCAGACAGACTGTTCCGCTGTTTCACAGCTCATCAGTGTGACTAGACATCCGATTGATGCATGTATATATGAAGGAAATATATGAATTTCAAGTCTCGGTTATGTAAACAGCTTTCCTAGTCAAGGGAATAGAGTCATAAAAAATACGATATATGTGTGAGTATACGAAAATAAATCAGATTCTATCAAATGCGACCCCTCCATTGCATAAACAGATGTCAGGTTCTGTTAATAGTTACGTCTTGATGTGTGCAGTAAAACTGAGTGATTTATGTAATTTATTTAAGATGTCCAGTAAAATCAAATAATTATGTTGTTTAATTCAAAATCTGCGGAAGCCAATTAGATATTTTCATGGCAATAACAGCGGAAGGTATTAGTGATTCCCCTAATGTCTACGGAATGATAATTTTCAGACTGAAAACTATGGCAAAACACTGTTGAAGAAATCATTGACACCCAGATGAGGAACTACCGAAATGCTTGAAAACATAGATCCTGAAAATTTTCGATAGAAACAGTAATGATAAACAGATTTGTCTAAACAAACCTTCCATCACTATTCTTGAATTGACATCGTAGGTGTACGTCTGTATCGAGGGAAAGTAAACCATCTTGGCATTATTTCCCCTTGTAATTATTGTTTATCAAACAAAATATTCTGATAAGATTTTATTGGTTGAATATATATATATATATATATATATATATATATATATAGGATGTAATTCCTATACGATCACTGAAGTTGAGCACCTGACTGCTGACCATTTTGGAAATACCAGATACTGTAAGTTTGGATGGACCGATGGTGTAATGGATAATGGCTCGTAAGTGTTAGTCGGCGAATCGAGTTCCAATTGATTAGTGGATTCTTTTTCTACGGCTTATCAACCCATCGGGCTCCAATTCCCATTGGAGTTGTTATATTCACCTACGTACAAATACCCCAGGAAAAAGGTATGAATCCATCTCTTCCCACGGTAGCTAGGATCAAAGTGTAGTATCTGTGCTTTGTGAGCTGCCGAGCCGGGTGTCTGTCGAACTCTCTGCTTGCAGAGGGGAACCCGGACGAAGCTCCGCCGAAGGGTGGGGTTTCTTTCGGGAGGTTGACGGAAATAGCCCGCTTGGACGGGTTTAGATGGGTTTTATTTTTTGGCTGGGCCTACGGCTCAGACATACCCACATTAAAAAGGCCTTGTGCCACATTCAATTCCTGTGGGTGAATTGATAAATACCATCTCTTCCACGGTAGCTAGGATCAAAGTGTAGTATCTGCGCTTTGTGTGCTGCCGGGTCGGGTGTCTGTCGAACTCTCTGCTTGCAGAGGAAACCAGACAAGCTCCGCCGAAGGGTAGGGTTTTCGTTGGGGAGGGTGACGGAACTGGCCCGCCTCGGCGGGTTTCGATGGTTATTTATTTTTGGCTGGGCCTACGGGCTCAGAGATACCCACATTAAAAAGGCCTTGTGCCACATTCGATCCCCGTGGGTGGATTGATAAATACCATCTCTTCCCCACCACCAGCTTTAAGTTAATGAGTACGACTTGTATCATTAAATCATAATTGATCTTATTGATAATCTTATATCGTGCCTAATAATGTCAGTAATATGAAATAAACTTATATCCGGCACATAGCTTAACAGTATATTGGTATATGTTTTTTCTATTTTATTATTAACGTATATTGTCGTGTATAGTGCGACATTTTTATTATCATTTTTTACACAAAATATTGGGGTTCGCGCTATATACATATATTTTTTTTTTAAGATGTAAAAAAAATCATACATATTCAGTGACCGGTTGCACTATACATAGGGTTTTTTTTCAGGAGGGTTTAAAATTCATGCAAAAAAATTCAGAGATCGCACTATATATGAAGTTGTCTTATACACGAGTATATACGATCATTATTCTTTTTAATATCTCCTTTTGCATAGGATTTACGATAAGAAAGAATCTTCTATCTGCCGCTAAAACTATTTCAGTATATTGATTTTGTATATTATTGTTGTTAACCTTTTATTGTGCCTAATGAGATCTACGGTGAGAACGAATCTTTTCTCTATCACATAAATTTATTACATGTTATTACTTTGAATTTCTCATCAGTTATTTTCGCCTAATAAGACCTCCGTAAATCTTTTCATTCACATTACTTAATAAACAGTTTTTTGATAGAATTTTTATTTCATATTTTAATTATTGTTAATCTTTTATTGTGTTTACCGTATATTACGACTTGAGCTTAATACGAAGCCGTATTTCTGAAGTTAACACAGGCAATAAATTACTAGGGTATAATACGACTCCGTATGGATAGCGGCTCGGATTGAGAAATCGAAGAACCTATTTCGAATTTCAGTCAGATTAATTACATTCACTTATGTGCTAATGCCCTTGGGAAAGGCATGAATCCTCTTCTTCTCCCTCCAGCTATGGGTAAATAGCAGTACAGACCGGGTTTCTATAGCCTCTATCGCAGAAAGAAATGGCAACCTATTCGAAAGATATATGATAGCCAAAGCGTGTATCACGCATAGCACATAAGTAATTAAGTATACTCATACTTATGTCATTTTTTATTAAGTTGTGTTATATTATCTTTCAAAATCTCAATATCTTACAAATCTTCAGCTAAAATATTTCATTTTTCACGATATTAAAAAATAGAAATGAACTGGATGTTTAGCCATCCGTGTTTCTTCTCCTTATTTTCCGTTTCAAAACTTATTTTCGAATTTTCGGGGACAGGTTTCTAACTAGATTATACCCGGTAATACATTTTAAAGTGTTAATTAATCTAACGTACTTTACTGTTTGATATGGCTTTATTATAATTTTATATATTATATAAAATACGAAATAAACTATGAAAAAAGTAGTGTCTTTTATTAAGAATGAAAAGAGAAACAAATATTGTTGCCATATCAAATAAATTTTCTAATCAAATGTCTATTTTGTGTTTTATTATCTCTTGTGTTAATTGAATGTATTTTCAATCATGCTGTTTCAAATATGAGGATTTTAAGTTTAGTAAAGATTTATGAAAACGTGTACTTATGTATAATACGAATCCCACCCCCACCCCACCCCCGCTCCACTTTGTGTTTTTAATTTTCGTTCAAAATTTCTCGTGTTATGCGCATGGGGATACTGTAAAAAGATCTACGGTAAGAACGATTTTTTTTCTCAGTCATATAACTTTTATTACTTTATATTATTATATTTGTATTACCTTATTGGCCTGGAGAGGGTTGGTCTCCGTCAGGTTATCTTGCCCAAGAAACATCATTTCTACTGTGGCTGCAGTACATGTGGTGCTCCTACGACACCGCAATTGACTACATTTGGTGTTGTTAGTAACTTCCAATTTTGCCCAATTTATCAGGTATATAATGTCTTATGACGATGTGGTGATTGTCTAAGCGTAGTTTAGATGTGGCACAAGGCCGAAAGTATGGAGCATCCTATGACTATGTCTCGTGGAAAAGCATCGTCTATACAAGATTCGGTATTATACGCAGTTTCAAGTATCCGCTTGTGTGGTTGGAACATATCTGCCCGGTTAAGAGGAATGTTTCTTTTTATATTATTATCATTACTTCGTTTTATTCTGCTGATTGTCGCATTTTGTGTGTATTTTCATCTGCTGTGTTTTTTTTATTATTTTTTGCTGTTATTGTTTATCTTTAGGCTTCTTATTTTTTCTTTCACCTTCTCTTTCGAAATTGCACTGCCAATTTTCTCGAAAATCGCTAGTCTTCTTCAAATTGCCTCATTCTTGTTTAGTTAATGTCTTTCGTATTCTCCAATTGTTGCCTTTATTTTTTTCATTTCCTTCCTTACCTAAATTCTTCGTCTCGCTTTTTTCATCTCAGTTTTTCAAGCATGTCCACTTCGAGTTTTCCGCATTCCTTCCATTAAGATTTATCTCCCTTTTTTCTCGTTGCTTTCTTACACAATTTTACTAATGATATTCTTTGCTTCCACATTATCTTTTTGTTCCTTTTCACTTTTGATGCCAATTTCGTCATTTACTCCTCCCCCTAATCTGATATTTCGTTTTCTGCTGTCAATCCCATAAATAATAAATTCATAAGTTTTACTTAATAATAGTCTCAAAGGACAATTCGGATAGTTTAGAGTAGGGATTCTAAATACACTGTTCTCGGGCTACCATACTGCGTCCGGCTCTAACATTGTGTGTAAAATAAAGGAGAATAATTTAAGGTTTTGCATTAAGAAAAAATCTCCTAATAAACAGCCAGACGTTTTGTTGGAAATATATCATATTTCTGAAATATGATATATTTTACAGGGCCGGTTGACGTTCACAAATCCCGTAAGAAAAAAAAAAGCAGGCTGTGACGGTGCCTTTTCATTGGCCCATGAATTGACGAACCAGCATCTAGCGAGAACGCAAGATATCCTACTAAAAAACAAAGTGTTTCTTCACCAAAACGTTTTGATGAGAATGTTTCGCTTGCTAACGAACACATTAATTAAAAAAAAAACAAAAAAAAACATGGGATTGGCGATTTCTCTCACTTCACCTAAACTACCCTCTCCATCACGGACAAGTGGTCGGCAAAATTTCCCTATTGTGGACAATAGAATTAGCCAGTACTGACCATATTCGACCATGGATAAAAGCTCGAGATTGATCCGAGTTCCAATTCTAGTTGTGTTCGTTATATTCACTTACGCGCAAATACCCCTAGGGGAAAGTTTGAATAGAATTCTTATACACCCAGCTGTGGGTTAATTTGTGAGACTTGTACTACTAAACCATTATTATCAAAAAAAAATAATTCTTATGATCTAAAAATATTTCCTGGCCTTAAATAACCTGCAATGGGGTGTTATGAAGTAAAAAACAAAGCAATCAATAAACCATTCTATTATATTTTTTCTTTTGTTTTCTTAGATTCTACCATTTGCTTTTCTTTCTTTTGGTCTGCACACACAATTCAACACAGTCACATGCACACAGAAATGTAAACGTAATTTATGGATATTAGACATCTGTCTTTTTCAAGTTTCTTAATTTAGTCACGTCGTTTCACGCACATCCGGGTCGACTGATGAACGTGTTGCATAATAGTTTAGTAGACTATTATTTTTTACAGAAGTGTATTTCTACTCTGACAGTTTGACCTTAGGGATCAGATACAAGACAAAATAAAGGAAGTCGATTTTGATTGGCTGAACTAGCGTTGGAATGATAGAGAAATGTTGTTTTTTTTTCGGGGAGTTGTTTCTTACACGTCGAACAATGTAGACGTGTTGACTTCGTGTCTGGATCTGCTCCCCAGTGGAGTGCGAGAGCGACCCCACTGGATATTTAGAAATATGCACTTCGACATGTTTAATAAAATAGATTAGTTTAAAATCCCTTAGTCGTATGAAAAATTTCGAAATTAATTTTAGCAATTGTGGAATATTTGGTTTTATTTTTTCACACAAGGCAAGATGATAAAGCCACCAAGGTTCAAGAGGTTACTGAAAGTGAAAGTGAAAGTAAATGAGTAAAAGTTTATGGAGAAAAGAAGTGGATAGAAGAACAAAAAGAAAGAAATTGGAGCTATGTTGTTGTCTTTTTTTCTCTGAAGCAAACCAACCGGCCGAAAGAAAAGAGAAGAAAAATACAACATTGTATTAATTGACGCATTGACCAAGAGACCCCCCCCCTCCATGAGGAGTGGGGCTATACAACAAATGTACACAACGACTGTAATAAAATCCGCTAATATTCATATTTGTGGCGGAAAGGTTAATGATGATAGACGTTACTAATGAGATCGATCATTGATGAAAGTTATATAAAAATTTGCCAATACAACAAGAAATGACGTAAAAGTCGTAAAATCAAGTAACCTTTCTTCACTCTGTGATCGTTTCAACTTGATTTTGCTTTGTCTTCTAATACTGGTTTTCAATAAATGTTATTCCAAATCCGTTTTTCAAAACTCAAATTTTGGGATTTGATTTCTTGTTTGCCATGCGGGCGAATTTTTTCATATTTTTCTTTTCCCAACGATAAGATTTGTCTCCCTTTTCACATCACATTCTACAATTATCGCCCTTTTCTCCTATTGTCTGCCTCACTTTCGTTTCACAAATTTTCTCCATCATTTATGCTTATTCTTCAGCAAAAATATTATTCGACCTTCTTCTTTCCACTTCGTCTTTCTTTTTCCTGATTCTTCTTTTTTTTCATATCTTTTTCACTGCTTCTTTTCTTCTCCCTCGTTCCTATTCCTGTTTCTTCCTTTCCATTTTCCCGTTTTCTTTCTTTCTTTTTCCTCCTTCTCCTCCTTTTCCTATTTTTTTCTTTTTTTTCTTTTTTTTTTTCCTTGCTGTTGCTTTCTCCGCCTCCTTCTCTTTCTATATTTTCATCTTTCCTTCGCTTTCTTCTTTTATTTATATCCCCTCTTTCTTAACCCTGTTTCTTCTTCTTCTTCTTCTTCTTCTTCTTCTTTCCCCTCCTTCTTATCCTTCTTCTTTCCTGTTGCTACGTCTTCGCTCCTTTTCTTACACCTACTTTCTTCTTCTTCTTCTTCTTCTTGACTTATGACCATATCACCTTGAAACATTGCTTCTCGTCCGACCAACAAAGTTAAGCAAACGTTGTGTCTGGTTAGAACATAGATGAGTGACCGCTCGGAATGCAGAAGCTGTAAGCTTGAATATGCGGTGACGTAATGGATAATGGCTCGGAATGAGATATCGGAGAGCTGAGTTCGAATTTCTTTCGAATTTGTTATATTCACTTGCATGCAAATAGCCTCGGATAAGGCATAAATCCACCTCTTCTCCTCCCCTCTAGGGTTTAAACAGAAAATCGTTATTATTCCCAAAAGATTCTTACAATCCAAAAATATATTTCGGCTTTAAATAACCTTAAAAAGGTTGATAAACCGTAAAAAAAAATCAATCAATTCTTTTTCTTCTTAACTTCATGCTACTTTCCCATGTTATTATTCTTTGTAAAGCTCTCACTTTTCATATCATGTCTCCTTTCTAAAATTCCCTTCGATAAAGACTCCATTTCCGCACTCAATTCTCAACATTACCTTATGGGAAGCACGGTGGAGTCATTGGTAGCGGCTCCGATTTGAGGAAGAGGTGGATTCATGCCTTTCCCGAGCCCAGTTGAATCCATTACATTCACTTACGTGTAAATACCCTCTTCTTCTCACCCCCAGGTGGACAGACCGAGTTCTATAGCCTTGGATGGCAACTGGTCTACGAAAGAAATGGCAACCTACTGCGGGAAAAAATCTGCTTAGTTAGTTAGTTATCAAAAGATACAGGATCGCCTAAGCGTGTATCACGCATGACACATAACTGACTGGCCTTACCATTCTCTTTTTGTCTATATCTCACCCCATTTTACAAATACTGCCCCCAATATTTCAGCCCCTCTCTTTATCCAAATAAATTCATTCATTCCTTGTTCTCTTACACTTCTCCGTCTTCTATTTTTGCCAAATACACTTCACATTCCCTTTAATTACTCCCTACTCTCCATGACATCTCCTTGCTCAATATGGCGCCTTTATTCTTACATTGAGTGAGTCGGTGTCACGACCTGAACACTCAGTACAGCAATAATGCTGTTAATCTTCTAAATGTATGACACGTGAGCTTCAACCTCAACAACTTTTCCTTCGACATTGATTAAAAAAATGTATTGCACTTTTAGAAATCAAATCGTTTAAAATGGCTTTAATAATTAATCACAGATAGCAAAAGTTAGCGATTAGTAGTATGACGCCACCACCACCCAATTTTAAAATTAATTTTAACATTTGTGAAATATTTTGCTCTAATTTTTCACACAAAGCAAGGTGACAAAGCCACTAAGATTCAAGGGTTACTGAAAGTAAAAGTATCTGAGAAAACTTTATTTAGGTGAGAGGTGGATAAAAGAAGAAATAGAAGGAAATTGAAGCTAACAATTGACATTGTATTTAAATTTGTAAAGATCATATTTGACAGGAAAGCAAGAAGAGAGTTCTACAAATGATAAGCACGACAGAAGAAACTATTTGCAAATAATTTACGGGTGCATCTGGCAATTTCAAAAGTAAAATGATGAGACATAACTGCAACTCTAGTACTACGTTTAAATACAAGAATTCAAGCTCATCATAACAATTACAATTAATAAGTAACTATATCGCTCTCTGGTATGTGAAGGCGATGCAATGTTTAGAATTATAAATACGCTCGCGGATTTCGAATTTCAGTCGAGTTTGTTTTATTCACTTTCACGAAATTAGATCTCCCCCACCCCCAGCTAGGAGTATGGTAGACGATGAGAATAACTCAAAAACGGTTTAGGCATTCAAAACCGCTTGGGCATGGGGCTAGCAACTTCATCCCGTAAAAACCAAGATGATAGTGTTCTCGGAACAAAATATTTTTCAGCGCACATGAAAGCAGTTATTGTATTAATTTTTAATTACAGTGTTGACGTCCATGTTAAAGATTCTACAAGTAAAATCGAGTTAATTGCGATATTTATTTATCCTCTTTCCCTCTCCTCTCGTAAACAGGGATTAGCACATTAAATCACAAACGAATCGACTCACCACAAGAAAATATGAAACACATCTAGACTTCTGAAAACACGAACGAAAATAATTAGCTCGTACAAGAAATGATTTCTTCGACAAAAGATCTTAAATTCTCTGGGGGAAATTCTAACAGAGTGATTTGATTTATTACAAGATAAATGTTTGTATACTTATCTTCATGTTGAGGCCTCCGATCAGTGGGAGTCTAAATTAATGACAGAAGAAAGAAAAAAGAACGGCATTTATTTGAGCGAACTACCCCAATTAACCCAAAGTATATGTGAATACTTACAGAGCTACATTCGCCCTGGGCTAAGTTTATAATGCCAACAGCTTCCATACTGTCTCTCTCAGCATCATATCGTGTTTGTAAAATTATCTCTCAAATCGATAGAAATACGAAAGGAGGGACATGTTTCCATCTTTCCTATTTGCCTTTTAGTTCCACCGCATTGTATTCTATCCTACAGGCCTACCCATGCTGCTGTTAAGGACCAGAAGCAGAAGCCTACTTCAAAATATACAATGTTCTGATATGTTTTGAAGAAATGTTAACAGTTAAACTACATTCGTAATAAATGACTTTTTCGTTAATATACTGCTCTCATCTGAGAGAAATCATTCTGCCTTCCATCATATTATATCAAATTTATAAATAATAGCACTTTAAAATACATTTCGCAGAGTAAAAACAGAATTAAAGAAAAAAGTATTCGGGCGAAAGGTCTGTTAAAAATTAAACATAATAAAACATTAGTAAAGTTAACTTTCTTCTGATAAGTCTTTTTCCCCATTTGGGAGAAGTAAGACCAGAAAAATTCGAATTAATAAATTATTTCTTTAAATCCATCATAGATACGCTATTTAGAACTAACGTTTTTCGCTGACATGAAGTGGAAAGAGTATATTGAATCAATTGCTAGGTCTGCAGTTAGGAAAGTTGGTTCGCTGTGTCAAGCTAGACAATTTTTCTCTACAGAATCTATCTTACATATTTATATTCATCCTTGCTTTGAATATTGGTGCCACATCTCGTCTGGTTTCCCTGCTACATATTTGGAGATTCTTGATAAAATCTAAAGAAGAATTTGTAATGTTATTGGTCCTGACCTGGCATCTCGGTTTCAGTGACTTTCCTACCGCCTCAAAGTAGTTTCCCTCTGCCTCTTCTATAAATACATTCATGGTAATTGTTCTGATGAACATTTCTTTATGGTTTATTAGGGTTTCTTTTTGAAATGTTATTTTTATATCTCCCCCACCCGCCACAGAAAGATTGTACATATTGGGACTAGCTAGAACTACATAGAGACTTGAGGCATTATGGTGACTGTAATAAGAATGGTAAGTAAGAATGGTAAGTAAGAATGTGCTGTTTTTGTGTCAGGAATATTGTGGTATATTTGTGTCAGTAATCGTGGCTACCTAAGTTTAAGATAAGACAAATTGAAGACCAGTCTTCCCCTCTCCCCCTTTTGGCCTTTATTAAGACAATATAAATATTACTTTCCTTTATGGTACCTAAACTTTAATCTCGGTACTAGATTGGTGGCAAGGTATCATCAGTTTGCAGTTGAAATAACTGGATGTAAGCATAAGTTCTATGCTGATATTACGTATTTTTCGGTTAGAGTATAGTGTTCTGTCGAGATATTTAGTTTTGCCTTCTTTCATTTTGTGATGGAAAATGTTACATTACAGCTGTAAAAATCCAACATGCATTTTTACCTGTTAATAACAGAAATGCAGATTATGAAAAAAAAATTAAGTGTATTCGCTTTTATGGATAAAAATTTTATAAAGAAGAGTATTAAAGTAGATTTAAGTCAAAAAATTTAAATAAAGTGACAAGATTTGTAAATAAAAATGTTTAGTGAAATTCGTAAAAAAAATTGTTATTGAAATAAACATCACATAGCAAGTACGAATGAAATAAAATAAAATAAATTTTATACTTCATTCAAACGAAAAAAAATCGTTAGAATCAAAGAAAAGAGGGCTGGATTGTTGAGTGGTATCTATCGTCTTATATGGCAGCGGATGTTGTACAATCTCCCTAAGGATGAGGAGAAAACTAGAGGCAGAAGAAATATAACCGTACAGAGGATGCTGAAAAGTTTATGGACGGAGAGAATCATCAACAAGGAAGTCTTAAAGAAAATGCCAAACAGAAGAACACTTCTATTCAAAATCAGGAAGAGCCAGCTAAAATATCTTGGTCACTTAATCAAGAAGTGGGGCTTGGATAACTTAACCTTCACGGGGGCATATTAACAGCAAGATAAAATAGAGAAAGGCAGTGTGCCAATGACCTGACGAGCTTGTGTAAATAGATGGTGGAACGAGGACGAGGACCTTAGACAGAAAAACTGTTAAAGGTCACATAAGACAGGAAGTTGCGGAGAGCCATGAATCTTGTTGTTAATAGAGCCAAGGAATGACGTTTAACGTCTCCAAAACAAAACTCATCGACTGGGAAAACAATTTTTTAACGTCTATCCTCATTGATGATGCTAACCTTCAGGAGTGGAACTCTTTGCGTCTTCTCTGACTAATATTTACCAATGAAATATAGCGGAAAGATTATATTGAATCAATAGCTAGGTCTGCAGCGAGGAAAGTTGGTTCACTGAATCGTACTAGACAATTTTTCTCGCCAGAATATATCTTACATATTTATAAATCTACCATTTCTTTTTGCTTTGAATATTGCTTCTACACGTGGTTTTGTGCTCCAGCGATATATTTAGAGATTATTGATAAAATCTGAAGAGTCTGTAATCTCGGCTTCAGTCACTTTCCCACAGCCGTAGCGTATCTTCCCTGTGACTTTTCTAGAAATACTTTCATGGTAATTGTTCTGATGAAGTCTCCTCATTTTACAGTTGAAAGAGCCAGATGTAACCGTAAGTTCTATGCTAATAGTTTCTTCTCTCGCTTGTAGAAATCTCTTCCGGCTTCTTGCTTTCCAGACAATTTTGTGCTTCAAAGATGCAAATGCAATATTAATCGTTATCTTCTGCTTTCTTCATTTCTGTCTTTTTTTACAATTCCTCATCCTTAATAACGTTTTTTTTTTTAATTTTTCTTATATTCTTTCACACTCAGTAATTCCTTGTGTCTCAGTGCCTTGCTTTCCGTATTAAAAATTATAACAATGTAAGTCAGAATGATAGAAAATGAACTGAGTCGATACGCAAAATTAGAAAACCGTGTATTCGATTTATTCAACATATACTGCTAAGGTAAATGGCGTACGTACTAGATTTATTATCGGTGGACACAACCTTGATGTATAATTCACAAAGGAGACTGTATTGATGGCGGATACAGAAGGAAAACTATAGGACCTTAAAGACAAGTAGGAAAGTAAATCGAGAAGAAAAGACCAAACATCAGTTTTAGAAAGACCGAATGTGTAAGGGTTGTCACCAAATGGAAAAGCCTAAGATGAGAACTGCGAATCAAATGTTTAAAAATCAGAGTAGAGTGGTTTACCGTATATACTCGCGTATCATACGACTTTTGAAGACGTTAATTTTGAAGCTAATTCGACTACAGTAAAGGGATATATAGTTTGGTCAACGGCGTCACCAGGGCCAACAGAATGTATGCGAATTTCATATCTCGTGTATGATGCTACTCCCTTAAAATTAGCTTCAAAATTAGGTCTTTATGGTCTCATCATCTTACAATTGAAATGACTAGATGTAACCGTAAGTTCTACGCTAACAGTTTCTTCTTGTGGAACTCTCTTCCGGCTCCTTGCTTCCCAGTCAACATTGATAATCAAAACTTTAAGTGAAATGTCAAGTGTTATCTTCTGTTTCCTTAATTCTTGTTCTTTTATTTTCCTCTCTCATTAATAATATATTTTCTCATATTCCCAAACACACAGTAACACCTTGTGTCTTTATGGCTTCATTGCCTTGCTTCTTCTTCTTCTTCTTCTTCTTCTTCTTCTTCTTCTTCTTCTTCTTCTTCTATGCCGTATCCCTTCAGGACGTAGGCGATCATGGCCCTTCACATCGTCCTGTCCCTTGTAGTTCTTAATAAGCTTTCTTTTTGTTATTTCGCCCAAACCTTGTTCTGCCATCTATTTGCTCAAGCCCCTCATATATGTTACGCGCTGCTTTCCTCTGTCCCTCTTTCCCTCAATCTGTCCTGTGAGTATCAGATTTTCCAAGCCCTCCTTCCTCATTACATATGTCAACTGCCTCTTCCTAATGTTAAGTATACGATTTTATTTGTTTCCCTTCTCTCCAAAACCTCGTCGTTGCTCACATTTTTAGCCCATGGTATCCTCAGCATCTTTGCGTTGATTTAAGTCTCTTCTTCATCTCTGAGGAGATTTTCAGTATACGCTGCCATACAGGCGGGCAGAAATCACGTATCAGTTCAGTATTCTTTTCTTTGTTTCCGACAAGAATTTTATGTTTCTTAATACTCTGCTTAGCTTTTTGAATGCATCTTTGGCCATTTCAATACTTCTTCGGATCTCAGTCTCGCACTTTCCGTCCTCTGTTAGAACACTTCCCAGGTATTTCAATTTCTGTGCCTGCTTCATTTTTGTATTAGCGATCTGCAATTTGCATTCTGGGTTCATCCTTCTGCTTCTTGAGATAAAATGTCGAAAAAAAAAATTATTCGAATTTCCTAAGAAATCTAGAACTGGCAACTCGCAAATTCGAACCGAAACTAAAATACATCACTCCCAATGGAACGAAGATCTTATAAAATCGGACTCCAGTTCTGGCTTTTAGTTACACCATGAGTAGGTCTGTAATATAGAGCGCCATTTTCCAGCGGAAGAAGAAGGATGGTTTAATTAATGTTTATTTTCGTCTACGGCTCTTTTTTATTTCTCGTCTGTAGCTGTAAACTCGACAAGTTGCCTACCGAAGACGTGACATTGTCAGATCTGTTTAACACAGTTACGTGATAACGCAGTAACTTCAAGTCAAGAGATATATCTGCCTACTTGAAAACGCCACTGAAACAGTCTACTGTTTCAAACTCAGGATTGCCGTTTACAAAAGAGGCTGCCCCAAAATACCACCAACTGTTTGAGTGGGTTACACGGTGCAGTGATATCACGGGAAGCGCTAAATGAATCTTCCACTCGGTTGAGTGTCGGCACGGTAACGCGGCCCGCTTTAGGGGATAGGCGAATAGAAAGGAGACTTTTCTAAATGTGGAGGGAAGAGGTCGCTTGTCTTTGATGGATTCCTTTATAAAAATTGTGTGGTAGGGGGTAGTTGTTCTTTGAGATAGATAATCACGTGATATGAAATACTTGAGAAAGAGGCTAAAAGGCACAGAAGAGAAAGAGAGTGAATGTGCGCGTGTGTATGTGTCTGCGCATGTGCGTGTGTGTATTTGTCAGTATGTTGAATAGAAGGGAGAAAGAAAATTCAGCGACAATGTAAAGAATAGGAAAGAAAATCAAGAGAAAAAAATGGAACTAAAATAAGAACTGAATAAATGAAAAAAAAAAGAAAGTGATTGAAAATTAATATTTTAAGGGGCATGAGAAAATGCGTGATGCATATGCTTGAAAACGCTGAAAGAACAAAGGATACAAATGGGGAAGAGAAAGACGGAAATAATAAGAAAGAAAGAAAGAAAGAAAGAAAGAAAGAAAAGAAAGAACAGAAATAAGAAAAAAGAAAGAAAAGCACAACCAATATGCAAAAGAAAGAAAGAAAGAAAGAAAGAAAGAAAAAACAAAAAAGAATGAAGAAAGGAAAGAAAAAATCAATGAAAGAGACAAAGACGGAAAGAAAGAACAAAAAAATAAACAAAAGAAAGAGTAAAAATGAAAATAGAAAGCAATTGAAAATTAAAATTTTAAGGAGTTTTAGAAATGCGAGGATTGAAAAAGTGGGATAAAAAAGACTACAAGTGTGGGAAAGAAAGAAAGAAAGAAAGAAAGAAAGAAAGAAAGAAAGAAAGAAAGAAATGGCAAAAGCAAGAGAAAAAGAAAGTTTCAAACAATAAATAAAACCCAGAAGAACAAAAATAAATGAAATGAAGCGGAGAAGTAAAGGAAAGGAGAAATAATAAGAAAGAATGAATGCAAGAAAGGAAGAAAGAAAAAAAAAGAAAATATTGGGGAAGTGAAGAAGAAAGAAAGGAGAGTATAGAAGGCAGGAAAGAAAGAAAGAAAGAAAGAAGGAAGAGAATGAAGAAAATGAAAAGGAAGAAAAGGAGTATCGAGATAAATAAATAACAAGGAAAATGAAAAGAAGGAAAAAAAAAGAAAGAATGAACAAAAAAAAAATATTAAGAGAAAAAAGACAAAAAATAGATAGATCGGGATGAGAAAATATGAAAGAAAGAAAGAAATGAAACAAAAAACAAAAGAAAAAAAAATGAAAATAAATAAATTAACAAATAAAAAGAATAAGAAAAAAGAAATTGCTAACAAATAAAAAGAATATTAAAAGAAATAAAGATAAGGAATAGATAGATAGATAGATAGATAGATAGATAGATAGATAGAAAGAAAGAAAGAAATGAAACAAAGAAACAAAGAAAGAAAAATGAATGAATAATAAATAAATAAATGAATAAATGAATAAATAGGAAAAAGAACGAAAGAAATTGCTAACAAATAAAAAGAATATTCAAAGAAATAAAGATAAGGAATAGATAGATAGATAGATAGATAGATAGATAGATAGATAGATAGATAGATAGATAAATAAAAAAAAAAGAAAGAAAGAAAGAAAGAAAGAAAGAAATGAAACAAAGAAACAAAGAAAGAAAAATGAATGAATAATAAATAAATAAATGAATAAATAGAAAAAAGAACGAAAGAAATTGCTAACAAATAAAAAGAATATTCAAAGAAATAAAGATAAGGAAAAGATAGATAGATAGATAGATAGATAGATAGATAGATAGATAGATAGATAGAAACAAACAAACAAACAAACAAACAAACAAATGAAACAAAGAAAGAAAAATGAATGAATAATAAATAAATAAATAAATAGAAAGAATAGCTTCTTTTATATTTGATTAGATTTCCACTCTGAACATTCAAAGGTTTTCTTTTCTACTTATAGGAATATCATCTGCGGCCGTCGTTTGTGACTCATGCAACCCGACAGGTGGGCAGAGAAGAGAGGGACTTGAAGTTCAAGCGATCGAACCAATCAGAGTTTCAGAATAAACCATCTAAAATTAAAGGCCAACACAAAAAAAAAAAGGTTGGGAACGAAATCTACTAGAAAAGAAATCGCAATTTTTTTTAAGGAATAAATAAAGTAAAAATAAAATTAATGGAAGTGATCTAGAAAATAGATATATTTGAATATCTTCCTGTTAAGTGGTTTCCAAAGATACACTGGGCGCCTGCCACAGTGTATTAGGTAACCACATTGCTTGTGTTGCGTGTTCGAGTCTCATCGGATTGTCTTTTCCTTTTTACAATAATGTTTACCCTGCACAAAGCCCAACAGCTACTCGAGGTAGAGGGTTATAGAGTAAGAGGTAAGAGACGCAGTTTATGAAGATATATGAGGAAGATAACGTTTAACCGTAGATTAGAACAGTTTGAGATTGTACTAAACGGGTAAACATCGTATAGGGGGACGGTTCCACCATGTTGCTGTTTGTGGGGTGAAGCTGCTCGAATAGAACTTACATTTCACCTATGAAATGCGTAGGAAATGAGGCTGGTTCGCTACAATGTGCGTGGCACGGCGAGTCCTAGCCGTGAAGTTTACAACTAGGAACGTAGTTGGTCTGAACAGTTGCCGTGAAAATAGAGACCGACTAGCAACAGGGAAAGGTAGAGAGACCCTCACCTACAAGGCCGCGTAGAGGCTTACGCACTGTTTCGTAATTGGAAAGTAACGCACAATTCAATCCTTGTGCTTGACTGTGAGCTAAGCAGAGTATATACATGATGCGTCCTCTGTAGTGAGACGCTTAGAAACGATGTACTGAAAATTAAATCAATTTCGTCACTTATTCTGTACTCAGCTGATGTCTCGTTATTTCCACCTTATTCCAGACTAAGCAATGATTAATGCATAAGTGGATTGTGGGTAGATAAGCATGTTTCTTTGAGGATAACTAGTAGCTCTCAAAATTCCCCGGTTTCCTTTCATTATTTACGTCAGCCGGTTCATTCACTCCCAACTTTAAACTGTCAATCAGTCATTTATTTTTCAGTATTTTACTTATTACTGACTGTTTCTTGTCTTCACGTTTTTCCACTGACAAGGAGTGGGGCGGTTACGTCAAATCAATTGCTTCGTCTACTGTGAAGAAAATCTGCTTCACTGTGTCTTACTAGAAACTTTTTCTTGTCAGAATGCATTTTACACATTTAGAAATCTACCATCGCGCTTATCTCTCCTGTTTGCTCTGCACCTATAACCCATTGGAATCAATTCTTCCGTCTATCTGACTGCAACAGACGTCTCTTTTACCCTGCTCGTAATGAGTACAAGTGTATCCTCAAAGAAGCAAAGTTACTGTTTGCTGATAGAATAAAACAACGTATTGCACCTGGAAAGTTTGGTTCTAAAGATTATTGGCGTCTCTGCAAGAGTGTTTTTAACTACAACAAACACTCAATCCCTCCTCCATTCAATCAATTCGAAGTCCTAACATCCTCAGGTGATAAGGCTAAATGCTTTGCTCGGAATTTCTCATCCATCTCAACGCACGACTCATCCGGTGTATATATACCTGATTTTGCTCCTAGAACTGAGGCTATACTGAGTGAGATATGCATAACCCCGTCGATGGTATTAGACATCAACTCTAAATTAGAATCTCATAAAGCTAGTAGTGGTGAAGGGATACCAGCAGTAGTCCTAAAGAAATGTGCCGCTGAGTTGGCCCCAGTTCTCTCCAAACTATACAACTACTGCCTCTCCTTCCTGGCCTCACGTTTTCCCCTGACATGAAGTGGAGCGATTACATCGAATCAAGAGCTGAATCTACAGCAAGGAAAGTTGGGTCAGTATATTTAGCCTGAATTTTTTTTCGTCAGAATCCACCTTGTACATTTTCAAATCTACCATTCAACCCTGCATTGAATACTGTTGCCATATCTGGTCTGGTGATCCTGCTGTACATCTAGAGATTCTCGCTAAAATCAAAAGAATCGATTTTGACCTGGCGTCTCGACTTCAATCACTTTCACACAGACGTGACGTCGCTTCCATCTGTATTTTCTACAAATATTTTCCTTGCAACGACGAGCTTTTTTTTTTTTCCTAGTGCTCCGACTAGATGAATTTAAGTGTGCTACAACATTGGCATTGCGGTCCCATTGCTTTACTGTTGAAATAGTTTAAATACAAACGCCACTTCTACTCCAACAGTTTCTTTTCTCCCTATTCTCAGTCTTCTCTTTCATTTACACTCCCTGTAACACACCCCTGCGTACTAGTGGCATCCCCGCCTTGCTTGAGGTTAAATGATTTTAAAAAAAAGTATAACACTGAAAATAAAATCAGTAGATGACACTTAAAATTGGGGAAAGAAAATTGGAGAATTAAACACTCAGATGACATATTGACGGCAAGAGATCAGAGAGAAATGCCAAGTAAGTTACCAAACAAGTTTGTGTAAATGGATGGCAGAACTATGGATGTTGGTGTACTGAGCTGACTTTAATGTTTCTGATAGTCAGTATATAATCTGGTGAAATCAATAGTGCGCTAAAACTCTCGTTCACGATGACTTGCAGAAGCATCGACAGGTTCCAAAAAGTTTCGTCTAAAAATTTTCACGATTTTCTCGCGATTCCCCAATGATGCCACTGGTTGCGATCGTCTCCCCAGGCCAATATTTTCAAGCTACACCTCCCTCACAAATTAACCATAATTCCAACCAAGGACAATGGATTCGCTTTCGCAAAAATAACTATGGAAAGCTATGAATCCTTATCTTCTGCATTCAGCAAATGTAAATAGCAGGGTAGACTGGGATCTCTAGTTTTGGTAGGTAACAAGTCGAAGAGAAATGCCACTTTAAGCTCATTCAAAACGAGTTGGGTGCAGTACTACCAATTCCTTCCTCTAAAAGCCTACTTGTTTGAAAAGCCGAGTGTATTGAAGATGTCTACATATAGATGTCTACAATGTCCACACCCCAAAACACCTGATACATACACACACACACATACACGCATATATATATATATATATATGTGTGTGTGTGTGTGTGTGTGTGTGTGTGTGTGTGTAATTTATATAATATACATACTGAATATCGGTTTAAATGTCCTTTAAATAATTGTATCTCTCGCAAAATCTTTTTTGCATGTGTTGGTTTGATGACCAGAACAATATCAAGAAGTCTTACACTTCCTTTGTCAGATAGAGTTTCTATTGAACAACATTTAAAACACATTACTCTCTAAATTCACGATACGGTAAAATACTTGTTGACAAAACCAATATACTACAGCACGAAAATAATAAACAAAGACTTCAAATTGTTGGCGCCCTTTATATCAAAACACACCAACCAACAATCAACAAAATTTATTAAGAATATGGCAACAACATATTAACGTACATATAAAAATTAATGCCTTTTTAATTTCCAGCAATTTCCGGTCAGCTCCTTTATATTGAAACGCTTCTTTTGGAAAAAATCCATTTTAATTTTTTTAAATTCCAACGGATAAATTAAAAATGTTCATATAACTATAAGAACTCGTTTGCGGGGTTTTTTAATGCCTAGACATGGACAACGGAAAATGAACAATCTATCTTGTTTGAAAAGCGTCACGGTCGTACATCAGAAAGATGTAACGAAATAACGCGCGTAACCAGGACTGCGGTTACTAAGGAACCTTTTATTTTCGGCGAATTAATAGTATTAATACTGTTATGCAATTGCTGCTTTCTGGTCAGCTCCGCCATATTTGTTTTTCATATCATGTAGGGTAAATCGGACACAATGCAACACCTTTTTTTTTTAAATTACCACAACGACCATATAATTAAAGACAGACAAGGTTATTTAAGCTGTACATGGACATTAGAGTTAAGTGAACATTATGATGAGGAGGTATTCTGTATACCATTTCAATTTAAGGACTTAACAAGAAAAAGATGAAACTTGCAAAATGTTAATTTTAACCCCACCGGTAGTGGAAAAAATAACAGACAGTGGGGCAAAATGTAACATGGTGGGGTAAATTGTAACAACGAAAATTAGGACAATTAAACCTCTTAGATACTTAATTTATGACTCAAATCCATTCTATTTGATTTAACAAGCATAAAATGATAATTTAAAAATAGTCTAAAAAGTGATAAACTGTTGTACACACAACATACAAAATTAGTGAAATTCTACTTGGATGTGTCGATTTTGGATATTCTGCTCTCGTTTAGTTTCATAAGGTCTTTTTTTAGTTTTTACAAGCTTTTGTCTGTTCCTACAGACATCCTCAGGTGTGGACATAGATTTGTTCTTTTTTTTTACTTCTCGGTAATAAGAGGACAACGAAAATATAGATGTAATCCGAAAAAAGGCTATGAGAAATGTGTTATTATTTGTGTTTTGTATGAATGATTCAAGTTATAAGTTGAACAGCACCTATAATCGAAATTAAAATAACTGATCCAACGTGCAACTTTCGGATAATAAGTGTGACATTTCTGTAATTATTGAGCAATATAGTTCATGCCACATTCACGGAAAACCTACCAGTACAAAAGAATTCTCTTATTACTATATTTGTACAAAAACGCACAACCTTAAAATTTAAAATTCAAACTCAGCGTTGCGACCGCACGTTCCAAAACGAAAACAAACAGGGAAGAGTGGGTATCTTGACAAGAATTATAACAAAAGAGAATTCCTGGAACTGTCCGAGAACATCAACAACTCTCATCAACTAGATGAACAAAGAAAGTCTAGCGTAACCAGGATAGGAGTCAGGAAACCGGCACGTTGTATCGAAAGGACACAGAAAAAGGAAATCAAAGCTAGCCCCGTTCACGCGAAACAGACTCGCGACTGTCACTCATCTTCCGCTAAAATCTGCCTGTAACAAACGCTTTCTATCAGTTCTGATCTTCATCCTGAACTTATGCACAAAGAACCGGCCAAGATCCTGATATGAAGACCGTTCGTATCGTAGGGTTTCCTCTAACCGCGTCGTCCAAACAATGATTCTTGGCACGGCTGGCAGCTACAGAAACACTATCCGTTTCACCCCGGAACAAGGAGGATGACCGAAAATCAGTTTAATGAGATGCGTGACACCCATTTAATTACAAGAGACCCTCTGCAACAATTACGGGCCTTACATTCCGAGGTAAATTATAACTATCAATTTACTTTGCGATATTGTCAATTAGCCGATGTTTTGCCAAGCATTCCAGTAAACAATATAATAATTAAATAGTGTAAATAAACAATCTAATTCAACATCCATTGAATCATCCCATTTTAATCAGTGTTTTCTTTCGTGGTTCGTTTCTGTAAGCTACATTCAAGGTAAATGAAACGAAATATCTCCAGATGATGACACTCGCTGAATACCTTCATTACACACACACACACACATACGCAACCCCGCCATATATATATATATATATATATATATATATATATATATATCGTCATCCACTGAGAGACTATTTTGCTGTATCACAGCTCATATATATATATATATATATATATATATATATATATATATATATATATATATATATATATATATATATATACACTAAGAGATATGTAGATTGCGTGTTTCTATATTTATGGAAATTTTCACTCGTTATCGAGGATAAATATGGAAATATTTTTTGCATGATTCTTTGAGATTTCCCAGGCTGAATTACCGTCTTTGATATTCCACATTTTTTCAGTTCTCTTTCGAAGACAAGGTCTGTTCAGGTTTTTGCTATCATTTGACTTTTCGAGTCTTGGATGATCCGGTTGTGTGATGATGGCCATATCTCAGCCCCTACTCGCAGCTTTAGGCACAAAACACTTCTCTCGGCCCAAGAGCTCCCCCAAGCAGGGCTGCCACCGGCTAAATCCCCGTCATGCCTGCTATTCCCAAGGATTTCTTGTAAGGCAGAAAATTTCTCGAAATAGATTTGAGTGCTCCAACTACAAAAGAAACTACTTGAGCTGCTGCTGTTTGGTATATTTCTTGATTTGCCTTGTCAAGTTTTGGTATGCCTGAATTTTCGCCTACTCATCATCACAATTTTCTTATCCCAAGGTAACACAACGTCTATCAGCATCCATTTATGGCTGCTCTTGTTCTCAAGTGTGATATTAGGACGATTGCTCTCCAAGGAGCATGTCAATCAAGATTATTATTATTATTAATATTATTATTATTATTATTATTGTTGTTGTTGTACTTATCCCTCCCTTCGTTAGCACGACCGTTGCGTTCTGTCAGTACCTAAGAAATAATGGTCTATTACGCGTTTTGAAGCAGTGAAAAGATAGGAAAGGTATTACTTGGTTTCAGTGAGAAAATGAATGAGAAAAGAAAGTAAAGAAGGACAGAGGTTGAAAGAAAGAGAGAATCAGATTCAGCTGACAAAGACAGATGCTGCACTTTGATCTTAATCAAAAACCGAGAAGCGATATAACCGCCATTTTTCAAACACAGTATCGAACATCGAAAAATCTAGTTAGAATAAATTAAATAAAATAATATCATCTGATGGAGAAATGTTCGTAAGATGGAGATTTGGAAAGAAAGAAAGAAAGAAAGAAAGAAAGAAAGAAAGAAAGAAAGAAAGAAGTCTTTAACGTCTCCTTCCAATACTTCATAAATTATGGACTATTCCGTTTTGATGGAACGGAAAGACGGGAAAAGATACTACTTGATTTCAGTGAAAGAAAGAAAGAACGAAAGAAAGAAAGAAAGAAAGAAGTGATGATAGAATGTTTAAGCGTATGTTTCAATGAAATGAAAAATGTAAATTTCAAATCTTTTCATATTTATATCCTTTCCTTCTTAAAATAGCAACCATCATTTATATTTATGGTTGCTATTGTAATATTTTGTTAAAATTTCTAAGCTCAAATATATAACGAGGCGATTGGGGAATTTCTCCGGATATTGAGATTTATTATGCATTTAATACATAATTAGGACACAAGGCCGAAAAAAAGGGAGGGGTTGAGGCTGGTCGTCACTATCTTATACCTAGTTAATCCGAATCACGACCCAATCACTCATTACAATTTTCGCATTCACCATAAAAACTCGTCCGTCACCAATCAATCCTTCATAAACCATAATATCGCATCCTATCAAGTGGGTAGCTACTAAATGCTCCCCATGATATTAAGAATTTCTGCAGATATTCTATAGTTTTAGAACTCGCCATGAACTTATTCAATCATTAACTTAGAGGTTAAGAATTAAGATTCAGCAGGAAAATTTAAATAGGAAAACCATGAAATTTTCACGTGTCTTTCTAGTTATTATCATCATTATGCTATTCAAGTAAACAACTCTTGTCCATTTAATATATCTGTTTTCTTCTAACGTTTTGTTTCGGGGAAACGTTTACAGAGTAATGAAGAAATGAAAACTTATACAATGGTGAAAATCATTACGTTCATTAGACAGGAGAGAATAAAGCTTTTAATATTTCCATAATTATTTTAACAATATTAATAATTTGGGTTTTGCGTAATAAGTAGAAAAAGGGAATCAGTATAAGAAGCATTCTTGATATATAAAAATAAATTATGATTTTATCAGAATGTAAGTCCAATAATTGTTTACACGATGCTTTGATATCAGTAAATGGGCGTCTCTCTTATTTATTTTGCGTTGGCTTCCGGTCATCATTTGCAGTTAAATCTTTCGCCTTTTACTAAAGATTTTCATGGCCGGGAATAAATTACTGAGACTAAAGACTTATTTTTGAAGCCCTGAATTACTGCAATCCAAAACCAGACTGATCACTCTTCTCATCTATTAATATCGGCTTTCATCGCATTAACATCCAATATTCCTTCTGACCATTTATTTTGCGCTGTTCGACTACCTCATTCCTGAACATGATATCGTCACTGGTAGGGCGTGTCCGTGCCCGATGAGGGAGAACTAAGAATGGGTGAGGAATTCGACTCCAGACGATCCAATGTTTTTCAGTTCAACAAAACTAAGTGAGAAATCTTAGTGTTAATGTTATAATCGTCAATATAATTCCGTCGTCAAATGTAGTAACTGTTTCCCTTGACAACATTGCTTACGATTTCAACGTTTACGTGTGCGACAGACTTCCCTGAACTCCATTAGTCCTCTTCTCTCCCAGAGCAATTTAGAGAAGAGCTGTTGGAATTTGATCAGCTTTTTCACAGTGATGAGAAGGACTGACAATCTGTACACGATGAGAAGGTAGGTGTAACTGACACACACGCTTCTGTTCTGCTATTCAGGAACAAACGCCTGCGGAGCCATGCATCCACCATCTTGCCAACCTTGAATTGAACTGCTGCCCATTTTTTTCCAGATCGGGTTCGAAACACACCCCTACGATGCGAACCTGATAGATGAATTCCCTGGATTGGGAAGTGCCTAGACCGCTCTTTCAGTTTGAGGAGGAAGGTGGCCATAGAGCAGTGGCGATAGAGGGCAGCCTTGCCTTATAAATCTTGTGATATTGAACGACTTCGACCTTTTGTCGTTCAATGGGAGACTAGTATAAATACCCAATCCAGGTGTGAAAGCCATCGCCAATCACAGCGGCCACTGGTGTGGTTTCCAGGAAATTATGGTCCATTCTATCGAAAGGCTAATTAGTGGAGGACATGTGCCGTCGTTTATCTCATTCAGGATGTTTCGCACTAGGTGCAGATTGTACGGGATTGTCCTTATATTCAGAGCGCAAGACTATTCATGGCTGATGAGAATGTCCACAGCACTCTGTAGACGGCTTGTCAGGATTCTGGCCCAAATCTTCAGGTCTGTGTTGAGGAGAGTTATCGGCCGGAAGTCATCTACCTCGTTTCCGTCGTGGATATTCACCAGCAAAGGGACCACAAAATCCGAGATCAAGCAGCATTTTTTAGGCGCACAATAACGGACGATTTTTAAATTATTATTAAGAGACATCTTCGTAAGACGAGGATTTGACTAGAAAGAAAAAAGATGTTATTATTATTATCTTTAATATTATTGTGCCATGCAAGTAATCATGTAGTGTCCATTTAACCTTTTTATAACGTGTCTCTTCAAAACCTTTAATCGGGAAACGTTTAGAGAGAAATGATGAAATGAGAAGCACTTATACAAAGGTGAAGGTTATTGCGTTTATTAGCCAGTCGAATGAAGAAGAAAGCTTTTAATATTTCAGTTCTTATAATTCTGTTAGCAATATTAATAATTAACGCTTAGCGTAATATACGTAAAAATAGAATAAATATAAGAAGTCTTCTTGATATCGGATACGAAATTAATAGTTATGATTTTTTTCAGAATGTAAGTCCAGTAATTGTTGCACGGCGCTTTGAGGTCAATAAATGGACGTCGCTTCTACTTCATTAAGGTTGTTTTTCCCGGTCATCCTTAACGGATAAATCTTTCGCCTTTTACTAAAGATTTCCGTGACCGGGAATATGTCAATGAATCTAAAGTCTTATTTTTGAAGCCCTGTTTGACTGCAGGGTGAAAACAATCCAAAAACAGACTGGTCATTTAATAGACGATTTTCATCCCAACAACACTGACAATGTTCCTTCTGTCTGTCTCTTTCGTGTGATTCGACTGCCACCTTCCTGAACTTTACGTCTTTTCATAGGAATCCTGTGAGGTTGAGCAAATCGGCACTATGAGCACGAGTGTTTTCTATTTCAACAAAAGTTTTTAAAATCATCAGCATAATTCCATCGTCAAAAGAACTGTTTTCCTGTTACAATTTCCAATTTTACGCGTGCGAGAAAAAATTTAACAGATAAATTCTACATTTATCAGCAACTTTTGTCGCTCGTTAATCACATAAACATGCGAGAATTTGTATTAAAACGCATTTCTGTGTTATTTTAAACTTAAAGTAAATACTATTTTTTTTTATCGATCAGATTGATCATTCTTTAAATCAGGTAATATTCGTCAAATACAATTTCATAAAAATATATTTTATTTTTGAAAGATTTTTTGATAAAGGAAATGATTATTTTTTAAGAAATAAAATTACATTGCGATTAAAGACGACTGAAAACGGCGCTAATCAGCTATTTTAACAAAAACATCCTTCCAGTCAATTTAAATTAGTTTAAATTATCATTTTTTTTAAATATAGCACAGTGTTTTGCTTAGTCGAAATTTTAAATTTAATCGATTTGCTTGAAATTACAACTAAAATAAAAGCTTCGAGAAAGATTTTTTAATTTTAAAACTTAGGTATCGTATTTTTCTGATTTTTTTTTTTTACGTACCTAATTAAAATAATCAAGACTTTCCTTGTAAAATACGGCATCGCTTTCTTTACGAAGAGGAGAAAAATATCCGTTCATTGCGACGTCAGCGTTCTTCTGATTATTATTATCATCATCATTATTATTAATAATAATAATATTGTCATTATTACAAGAAAGAGAGCAGTGTCCATTTTAAATTGTATATATCGAGTCTCTTCGAAAGCTTTAATGAGACAACGATTAGGGAGATAAGGACGAAATGTGAAGCACTAATGCAAAGGTGAAGGTCATTGGGTTTATTACTCAGGAGGATGGAGAATAAAACGTTTGTATTTAAGTGGTTCTTATTATTTTAACAATATTAATAAATTGAACATTGTGTAATATACCTCGAAATGGAAGAATTATAACAAGTCTTCGTGATATTGGATAGTAAATTAATAATTATGATTTTTTCAGAATGTAATCCCAGTAAATGTTGCGCGGTCCTTTCACGTCAGTAAATGGGCGTAACTCTTTCCTCTATAACGTTGTTTTTTTTCGGTCATCCTTTACGGACAAATCTTTCGCCTTTTACTAAAGATTTCCGTGGCCGGAAATATGTCAATGAGTCTCATGACTTATTTTTGAAGCCCTGCTTTCACGCAGGGTGAAATAACTCAAAAACAGACTGGTTAGTATCCCCTATATTTTGATATCGGTTTCCATCATTATGGTGGCGCGACGTTTCCAATTTAGGAGTGTGATGGTCACCAAGGCATAAGTGAGAAATCTATCTGTTCATCTTATATTAAACGACAAAATTTCATAATCGAAAGTAGTGACTGTTTTTCTGGCGATGTTAGTCTTATGTGAACGATTTCAACTTTAACTTATCCTATAGAACACAAAATAATTCGCAAGCTTCGGTATTACGCGTGATTTCCTTCTGACATAACCCCTGGCCATTACAATCAGACATAGAATAAGCTTTCGTTTGTTTATATATTTTGCCGTCTTGTAAATGTCGATATCTGTGTAATGGGGAGAAAATCACTGGCTGTGGTTTTGTTGATTTCGACGATTGAAGAAAAATGTGTAAACGTGCCAACAAAAGAAAAGAGGAACAACAGAATTGTGCTATGGTGATCTTTCATACCAAATATTCCTTTTTCTATCCTTCAATCACTGAGAGAGATCTACTATTAAATAACGCTGGTGATACTAACGTCTTAGCGGTAGATTTTCTCTCATGATAAAAGCGAGGCTGGTGGTATTCTCCGTGAGTTTCCGGTCTCTCTAGTTAATTCTCTCAGAATCTACACAAACTCTCACTTCTGCGCACGCGTACTCCGTTTACACACACTTCCGCTCGGATAGTTATGAAGAAAGGGCTTCCAAAATTAAGTCTTTAAACTCATATTCAAAATATATGTCTTTAGCCATATTTCCGGTCACCTAAATCTTTAGTATAATGCGAAATATTTATTCGCAAACAATGGCCGGGAATCAGAGTTTATTTTGAAGTATTACATTTCATGTGGCACAAGGCCAAAAAGGAAGTGTGTAAAGTCTGGTTCTCACTGACTATCCTACACCAAGTTAATCTAATTCAAGACCTATCCATTCTTACAATTGATTCAATCACCCCAAGAACTCATACATCACCATTCAATCTAATATATACCACCATACCGATTGCTCACAGAGATACTACACAAACTCCATGATGTGATAATGTACAAATTCGCCATATTTTTGTTTTCTTTTAAGAAAAATATATAACATGAAATGAAGGGAGAAGCAAAATAAATTACGGAATGGGAAAATCAAAGGTTGAACCATTCAAGATAAAAAGGTGAAAAACAAACATGGAAGGTTTGGTATCTTGACTAGGATTATAACAAAAGATAATTCCGGTGGCGTCAATTAACGTGAATCCTCTTCATAAGTATATCCTACACCTGTCCATCCTACACCGAGCTAATCTGATTGACGACGCATACATTCTAACAAATGACTGAATCGCCACAAGAACTCATCCATCACCAATCAATCCAACATATACCACAATACCGATTGTTCACGGTGATACTACACAAGTCCCATGATATAAAAATTTGATAATGTAGATATTCTCCATATTTTGGGGTAGTTTTTCTTTCCTTTTGACAAAAATATATAACGTGAGATGATTGGTGAGTGGATGAACGCAATAACAAACATAAAGTACAAGAAAACATTCAAACTAAAATAAAATATGTTAGTAGAACACGTCCACCTCAAAGAAAAAAAAGAGTGGCCCCTGTGTTCTAACAATAAGCAGAATGAAGCAGCTCGCTCACTAGAGGCAAAATAAATTGCTGAATTGGAAAATCAAATGTTAATCCAATCAAGATAAAAAGGAAGTTTGGGTATCTTGACAATGATAATAAGAAAAGATAATTCCTGGAACAGCAATTACTCTCATTAAGCTGGTGAAAAAAAAAGAAGCCTAGCTTAACAAGGGGAAGGGCCCGTCAAGAAACTGCCCGGTTGTGTCGAAAGAAGACAAAAAATTGCGGCTGGTTCAGTTCACGGGAAACAGAACCGCGACATTCACTCGCCATTCGCTGAAATCTACCAATAGCAAAGGCTTTCTATCAGTTCTGATCTTCATCATGAGCTGAAGCCCAAAGAATCCAACCCGATCCTGATGAAAATAACGTTTGTATCGTATGACTCTCTTCATCCGCATCGTCCACACCACCATCCTTGCCACGGCTAGCAGCTTCAGAAACACCACCCGTTTCATTCGAGAACACGGAGGATATCCGGAAATCTGTGTAAGCGTGACACCCATTCATTTACCCCAAGTCTCTCTGCAACAATTATGGAGCTTATATTCTGAGGAAAATTATAACTATTAATTTGCTTTCCGATATTGGCAATTAGCCGATGTTTTGCCAAGCATTCCAATAAACAATATAATAATTAAATAGTGTAAGTAATCAATCTAATTCATTGAATCATCGCATTTTTAATCAGTGTCTTCATTCGTATTACTTTCCTGTGGAATTGGCAGAATACCTCCATTAAACACACACACAAAACACACAACACAAAACGCACATCACACACACACACACACACATATATATATATATATATATATATATATATATATATATATATATATATACAGTGGGCGGAAATAAATATTCGTACACTTGAAAAATTGTATTTTTATAAATGTAAAATCCTTAAATAAAACAATTCTCGGCACATTTTATGTATAAAAACATACTATTAAAAAATAATAATAAACTTAAATAATTCTTATTCTAACAGTAATTA